GAGATGGAGACGGTGGGCTTGGCTGGAGGGGAGAAGGGCAAGAGAGAGACCTTGCTGGATTCCTCCCCCCGCCAGAAAAAATATTTGGTATAATATTCTTGAAAGATGTTTTTTGGGGCAGGGGAAACTTTGGACCTTGGGAAGAGAAGGAAGATCGTGGGACTGATGGGAAGGAGGGGAATCTATTTCTTCCCTTTGGCATGTTTAATTGTCATCCTTGTAGAATTTCAAACTTTTTAAGGGTAATTTATTTTTTAAGCTTATTTTTATACATCTTTATTTAGGGGTGATGTTATATCCTACGCCATCCAGATCCCCGCTTTGAGGGAGGTGAAGGGATTAGAACAGTGTTTCACCTCTCCGGCCAATCACGGCGCCGCCCTGGAGAGCCTCGTAGTTGGCTCGGCAGAAGTAATCCACGGAGGCTTTCGCGTCCAGCAGGATGCGCTGATTCCTGTTCCAAGCCCGGGCATCCCCCTTCCCCAATGCCGTGACGGCCTCGAACTCCCCGCGGTCGCTGTCGAAGCGGACGAACTCCTGCCGGTCGTAGAAGTAGCGCTGTAGGAACCGCACCCGCCGCCTCCCGTTGAGGAAGCGGCACTCGTGCTTCGTCTGGTACAGGAAATGGGCTGCGGGGAGGAGGAGGAGGAGGAGGAGCGTCAGGAGGGACTCCAGGGCCCATGGTTCCCAGCCTCTCGTACAGGAGGGACCTGCTTGTCAGAGGAGGGGAGGGAAAGCTGCCGCAAGAGGCTGCCGGAAGGCTCCCCCTGGAGGAGGGATGGGGTTTATCTGGACCCTCAGAGTCCCCTGAATTGGGGGGCAAAGGGGTGGGGAGCCTTCCTGGGGCTGCTGAAAGGACCCCGTTGGAGGCAGGAGATGGGGGGTCCTTTCCCTCCCCCTCTGTTGAGGGAGGGCTGCTCAATTTTGATCTAGACGGCTTGGGGGTCTGTGGATCCTGGGGAGAAGGGAACCCCCCCTAGTTATCCCCCATGTTTTCTTTTTTCCCCCTGCAACTTTCCTCCTACTAGCTGCCTTTGCGTGGTTTGGGGGTTCAGCCCTCTTTCCTGTCCCCCTGGAGCCCCCCAAGAGCCATCTCAAAGGGAAGGTGTCCAGCCCCCCTCACAAAAGGGATAGTTTTGGGGAGCGATTCAGACCCCCCCAAATATCCTTTTCCCTCAATTCACCCCTCCCCTCCAGGTACCGATTCAGCAATGGGGGAATATGGGGTGGGGGGTTCTGGGTCTCCTCCCCAAATTCAGAGTCTCCCCCAAGAAGGAATCCAAGCTCAACTCTTCCCTCCCCTTAAAAAAAATGGAGAGTCAGAAGAAAAAATTGAAGTTGCAAAAACACTTTTTGGCGGCATTTCTGGATTCAGGTCTGAAAATGCCTCAGTTTCCCTCTTTCACTTTCCGACTCCTTCTTCTTTCAGTGTAAGAAACCTCGGGGCTCAGGCGCTAATTTGGGGTGCGCAAGCCAGCCAGCCCCTGGGGGGGGGAGAGAGGGGGTCCAGCTGCCTCTTATCCCACCTCGGCCGCAACCAGTGAAGGGGGGGCTCCCTCTTTCTTCTGCGGGGGGGGAATGCTGCGAGGGAGGGGGCGGAGACCACGCGGAGATCGAGGCTCCTGCAGGCTCCCGCCTCTCTAGCCCTCGACCCTTTTTCCCATAACTGGGGTCCCAGCCCCTTTCTTCGCCCCCTCCCCCAGGAGCACCGAGAGTCCTCCTAACCCCTCTCCTCCCCCCCGCCCAGCCCCCTCCTTACCGGGGGTCTCCTTCCCCCCTTCGCTTCCGGGGATCCGGGCCAGCGCCCCCGCCAGCAGAAGCAGCAGCATCAGGGGGAGCCCAGCGGAGCCCATGGACGCCGCCCCACAAGCGCCCCCAGAGAGAGAAGAGACAGAGACGCGGAGGCTCCCAGCAGAGGTGTAGCGTGGGGGGTGCAGGGGGGGCCGGCCGCACCGGGCGCAACATCTGGGGGGGCGCGCTCGCACTCGCAGCTCTCTGCCCCTGCCTAAAGTGCAAGTTGGCTG